TGGTTATTACAATATAAGAGGAGTACCTTGAAGCATGGTTGAACATGATGTATTACTTAGGTCACATTTGGATAATATGGTGAGCATGATGCACTATCTAGAAGAAAAGTCGTGTTTTGAAAATGAGACTAGTTTCATGCACTTATGAGGGTCTTGTATTAAAGTAGGTGAAGTATGATACAGTAGCTAAGAGACAGGGATTATTTTGCTAATGAAGCTAGTATGGTGTAGTAGCTAAACGGAGGGTTATATTTTTAAAATGGATAGATCAAGAAGCATTATCTAGAAATTTACCTTGCAAATGAGGTCGGAATTGGGTACTGGCTGACATACACATAATTTAACGTAAAGCCAAACTGATACACTGGACATCAATGGACTCTGGCAGTCATTACTGAAAAGTGTTGGACACAACCATGTTAGCCAAGGGTTGACCACTGGTTCCTTGAATTGCTCTGAGGAGGTTTGCATGGGAAACCCTTTCTTGAAAACCTTGTAAAGTGAGTGCAAAGGGGAGGTGACAATGGCCAAGATTAGTAGAAGCCTAGAACATTGGCTGTGGATTAAAGTCACATACTGTGGCTGAAAAAAAAAAAAAAGAACCAAACATTAATAAATGACAATCAAAAGAAATATCCAAGCATGAAAATTAATGTTTCATTGACACTTTATGGACACACATACTTTCATAATTTTTTGTACACACCCTCCAAATGAACTACATCAAAATAAATAAGTACACGATTCTAAGTTTGCATATACTATCCACTTATCAAACAGAACTTGTAACTATCATAAACCGTACCCTTCTAATTATGCATAAACTTTTGTTTGAATGTTGTACTTTATGAAAAATCTTACACTACTGCATAAAAAGATATCTTTGAAAGATGTTGTCTTCAAAACTTCTAAAAACATCTCCACATTTCTAAATACTCTTTAAAAGTAATGAAAATAAAAATACTTTAACGAATAGTTCTGTCGTATTCCTAACAAGGTAATATTTGTTTTGGATTCTCGTGCAAAGCAACACACAGGGTATCTGTACCAGCTGTCCCTAATTTTAAACTGACAGACTAGAGGGAAAGCAGACAGTCAACAACACCCACCACCAACTTTTGGGCTTTTTTAATTGAATAGCATAGTGGGATTTGGCCATCACTCTTATAACATACTTATGGCTCCAAATTGTGAAGCACAAATGACTAGGCCAATTAGATGAAATGAAAATGTTGTAGAAAAAGATCCTGTAGTATTTTCTTCATAGTTATGAAATGTTGTAGAATGGTCCTATAGAATTATCAACATGGTAACAAATGTACCATGAACGTTGGGTACCATAGTATTATTTTCTACATGGAAATAAAATTGTTGTAGAGAATGGCACTTTGAATTCCTTATATGACAATGACAATTTTAAAACAAATGATTCTACTGTGTGCCCTAAATTGTAAAGAAAACGTTGTAGAGATTGATTTTATGGTGACGTGTACCTGCGTGCATCGTAATGAAAAAAGCAAAAAAAAAAACCCAACAGGAAAAGCCAAGAAGAGAAGCCAGATTTAAGCTTACAGCTAATCAAATGGACCATCTCGAGAATAGTGCAATGTCCAGAACACAGTTCAAAACATACTTTCTTTCAGAACTGTATCAGACAGTGTCAATGACATTTCAGCAGATCTGATGAGAAGTCATCTGATGGAGATTCAAGCTCAGATGATTACATTAAAAAAGAAAAAAGATGGCCAGCTTAAGCCACTTTGTCAGAAAAAAAAGCTGAAACTCCTAAATCACTAGCTTCTGAAATGATATAAATAATCTGTTACAGGGTATTTGAGTTACAAGTTCATGTGAGTGATACATCAGTGCAGTACTATGCCCTTATTAAGCACAAAATGTGATCACTTTCTACTGATAAGCTCGACAACACAGTTAGAGAAAAGTTGTCGTGGCCTTCTAAAGTAAATATTTGTTTATCAAAAACTTCTATCTGGGTGTGAACATAACAATTATCATGAAAATAAAACGTAAATGACAATAACAATAGGAATACATCAAAACCAAAAATGTACATTTTCCAAGACAGACTTAAGTCACAAATACTTAAAGGTTAAAAAACTTGGTATCAAAGCCCACAAAATAAAAAAAACACACCTCAATCTGGAAGATGACAAGAATTATGAGGCTTCACTATTTGAAAAGACTTCATTTTGTCAGAGAATACAAGTGGAGGAGAGAACAAGTAACAGAGAAAGGAAGAATGGTCTAAAGGACCTTTAGCCTGGTAACTCTACAGAGCAGAAGCAGATAAGTCATTTCAACAAAGAAGAAGAAAAAAATTTAAATATGGGTCCAAACTGAGAGCAAGAAGGGATTCACTCCCATATTATCTACATAATGGCAATACTCTAATCCAAGTTGTAATTTTTTTATTTTAATATCACCATCTTAAATTGTCACAGAAAGGTTTGGTTTATTTGAGTGGTACATGGAGTGAAAAGGTTTAAAACTACTGATCTACACAAATGGTGATAAAACTTTTTCTTTGATCAGTAAACAGTTAAAGAAGACTGCCAGTATGAATGGTGAGTCATCTAATGGACTGGGAGGAAATTAAACTTCTTTAATGATGGATCAGAGAGGATCAAAGCATGAAGATTTAACTGAAAAACAAGTAGATAGAAAAATCACAGTTTTGGGCTGACAGCATAGAAAATATTTCCAAAGTGGAAGAGGAATAGGGAAATTAATTGCATAAGCTGCAGGAGATAAAACCATGGCTGTGCTGGCCATAAGAAAATCTGAAAAGGTATACACAACTTCATCATGACTCAAGGTGGGGTATAAGTATTAAAAACTGTCTTAACCAATCCTGGTTCAGGGCATCTATATACAGGGCTGCTGAATGTAGGATTAGGGACTTTTGAATGAAATAATACATCAAAGATGCAAAATCTGATCTACAAGCAGATTAATTTTTCCTGGAAAATGACAAGCTTGTAGGGTTAGTCCATTTAGCCTTTAACCGTATGGTTATGGGTCCCCTTTCTGTTCATGTCACAAAATTTTATTGAGTTATATTCAAAGGTTAATTAAGCAAATTTACTATCAAGGTATGTCAATGAAATTAGCATTGTAACATTCATTATAATTCAATATTTTGTGTTATCTATGTTTTAAATACTTTATTTCAAAAGAAACTTACAAAAAACTCTTAATCTTTGGTTTTGCTATTCTGTGACACACAATCAGTTACAAGTCTTAGCTTACAGTCAGTCTTAAGTAATTTTTCTCATAAACAAGACCTTAACGTATAGACTGAAATTGGGTTAATTGCTCTGTTTACATATTCTCCTTTCAAATTCATTAGGTCAAATTCCAAGAAAGGAAAAATAAATCTCTTGGGAACTCTTGACAGAAGCCATGCCCACTTTCTAAAAATTGTCATACGATTTCACAATCAACACTATATTTCTCTAAACGTTTATAACCAATAGAAAGAGCTAATTTTAGACTACAATTTTCCATTGGTTATTTTCAAATTGGCAGGCACAGAAATCCATATAAGTTCTCGATTCTACTTACAGTATTGTTGCCCCTAATATCCTTTCTAGCACTTTGTATTGTTTCTCACCTATAAATATGTTAGTTAGATAGACAATTAAATTGTATTTAGGTTTTAGTTTTATATTTCAATTAATTATGTGCTATTTATGGTTTAAAAAGCATATCGGAAAAGCTTAATAATTTTTAAGTTCACAAGGCTTAGCATATTAGCCGAGTATCCCAATATTCTGTCGAAGGCTAAAGTGTCTCTGCTGATGATACAGCAATATTGCCCGAGGCCACCCATTGACATGTGTCATGACAAGTAATATTGGTAAAGGACAGGAAAGGAAAATAAAACCTTAAAAATAAATTATATGTGAAATACTACAAAGAATAAATTACCCATGATATTCACCCCAATGCTTGTAATGAGGCATTTATGAATAAATTGAAATCTGTCATCAGAAGTTTTAAAGTGATATCTTGGTCCTTCAATAGTGTTTTTCTGGTCCAACTACCAGCTCAAGGCCTTTGTTAACAGAATCTCTGTGTCAAAGAGTTTGTTCCAAGAAAGACACCACATATGAACTAAACCCAAACATATTAAAGAAACCACCGCTACAAAAGTCTTCACAAAAAAGGGATTTAATGACCAGAAAAAGTTTGGGATAGGAGAACCTTGTAAATAGAAGATTTCAATACCATTAACTACAGAGAAGGAAACTACAGTAGCTCCAGGCAAGAACCAATCACAATTAGCAAACAACTACAAGAACCAATTAAGAGACATTCTTTGATAGATTATTTAGGCAGAGTATTCATGATGAAACTTTGTAGAATGGACAGCAACTGCCTGTTTTAGAGTCAGAAGTGTAGAGGGTGACGTTTCAAAAGTCTTCCACCTTTCGTCTTCAGGTCGGTGTAAGGTGTTGTCAGTCTTTATAGTATTCTAGATTGTAATTTTAAGAAATGCATAACCAAAACTTGCTGAATCACATCTAGCCACTGGAAATTTTTAATAAATTTTTCATTACATTGTGCTTTTTTCATGTATTTAGTAATATTTAAACCTCACAAATAAATTGGTAAAACATTTGAATCACCAATATAAGTCAAAATCAGTAAAGGAATATAATTCTACATTTTGATTTCCATTGTTTGATCACCAGCTGACAAACATGCATATCGGCAAGTAGACTTTCAATAGTCAAGACATGAATGAGATGATTGGAACTGAAAGTTTCCATGGGCTCTATACACATTGCACAGAAAAGACTGAATGATTGGTTAACCTTCAAAGAATTGTTAACTTCAAAAAGCAGTGTGCTTGTGTTTTGTTTATGGCATAAATTGAAAATTGGATCATCAATTTTCTTGAGGCAAGATGAAGATCCCCTCCTTTCCTTGCTCCTCACTGGGTTAAATTGCTAATATCCTAGCACCTAAATGTCAGAGATATTTTAATCATTTTGTATGACTTCTAGCTACTCTTGGTATGCAATGCAATGTAAAGTATGATTTTTATATCCATGCTACTTGTGGCAGAATGCACCACTATATAATGTATAACATTTAATTCTAAGCTACTTGTATCAGTATTAAGGTTCACATAAAAAGTTTATTCATAAATGCAAGACCTACTAAAGGCATTTCAAGGCTAATTTTACAGTTTTGGGTGTATTTAGGTAAAAATTACTTGCAGTGTGATAAATAACATCTAAGATATAGACTACACATATTTATATATGTGTACAAGTAAAAAATTGGGAATTTAAAAATTTGCAAATACGGATCATAAAAAAAGTAAGCAAACAAGGCTGGAGATACTGAGAACATTATCTACTCAAACTACAAACCCCTATTTTGGCTCCATGCTGTTACCTAGAATTACATTTGGTGGAGTCAAAATAGGGATTTGTAGTTTGAGTAAATAATGTCTACAGTATCCTCAGGCTTGTTTCCTTAATTTTTTATGATCCCTATTTGCAGGTTTTTAAATTCCCAATTTTTTATTTATCTTGTTTGCTGGCTTT